TCTTTCCCTCTATTGAAATTCAGCTGGGTCTCACCACTCGTTTGATTTATAGGCCAGAAGACAAGGACACAGTTGGGGGCTGCAGTATGCAACAGGTATGAGAAGGGAGGTGCCTTTAGCTGTTATGTCACTGAAATTAGATCTCTTTGAGCCATGATAGAAATCCCCAAGAGTGCGTACAAAGAAGAAGGGCAGAGGTAAAACTTATTTTTTTACTAGCCACAGAGGAATAAATATGTTATGGGTGCACAGACACACCACAGATAATCCCAGACTGTGATAGGCAGCTTTTATTTTAAATGTAATCTTCAAATAACAGTATATAACATAAGAATTTCCTCCTTTCCTCAGTCTCGCACAGGTCCAAACCAAGGTCAAAGACAACCCATCTGTGACCCATGGGCTAGGAAGATCAGACCCAAGTGAGTCTCACTGTGTGAGAATGGTGACAACTGACCTACCTCACTCATCAGAGGTTGTGAAAATGAATGCATGGGGGCAAAGCGCTTTGAGATCTTCAGACTGGGAGAGGTCAGGAGAGCATCACCATCTCATTCAGGAGCTCCAACACCAAGGGGAAAAATAAATCACACAAAGCTTAAATAGGAAACCACAGCTGCTGTCAGATTAAATCTGCTACATGTGCATTCCACTGCCTCACTGAACAGTGTTTTATTTCACACCTCAAAATGTGAGCCCCTGTGCCATGGACTTGTTCCTTTTTCCCTATTCCCTCTAGATGACTTAACAAGCTGAAAGTGCAGCTGGAAATTAATGCTTCCTGTCTTTTTAAATAATGTGACATTGAAATCCCAGTATTTAATGTGTTGGCATTTAACATGCCACAATATTTCAGTTACTTTGCACTGGTTGGGGTGCAGAAGTGTTATTACAGCTGTTCTGAAATTCTGACAAAGAGGTGCATTTCTTTCTTTTTTTCTTTTTTTTTTCCCCTCCACTATGTCCCACCATAATTGCTTTTTGCTGCATCTCTGAACCGTAACCATGGCGATCCGCCACATTCATCAGAGGACCCTCTTGTTGTTTTGCTTGTGTGAAAGTAAGGGGGGGAGAAAAGGAAAAGAAGAAACAGAGAGCATAAAATATTTGCAGAACTTTCCAAAAAGGCAGCTTTTTCCTCTATTTATTTTTATTTTTTTCCTATTCCTAATAACAGAAGCTGCATTGGAGAAGTGGCTTGGCCAAGAACACCAAGGACTTGTTCATAGCCTAAAAAAGTGAGAGGAGGAGTCTGGGTTTGGAGGTGTTGCTTTTTGTGGAAAAAAGAGTTATATAACTGGAGCTCTCAAGCCGTTCCCCCTTGAAAGGAGGAATTGTTATGTGCAGAAGGGGCAGCAAAGGTTGACCCTTTTCCATTTTTGTCTAATGACAGACTGGTCCTTGTTTGGAGAACGAGTTGGTGCGGCACATCGTTACCATATTAAAGTTGTGCCATTTCTGAGTGGGAAGGGAGAAACTGCCTTGCTTTGAACATAGATTTGGAGCTGCCCTTTTCCAGGCCTGCTCGGTCGGATGTCTACTGTTCACTGCCACAGCTGGTGTGGAAAGGGAGATGTTCAAACTGCTGGCTGCAGTGTGGCAGGCGAGACATGAAGGGGAGAGGGAACCTTCTTGCTCTGAGGTGTCTTTCAAGTCCAGCACCTTTCTGCTCTGCTCTTTCCTTACTTCTCTAATTAGCTGGGAACCTGTCACGGTGAGAGATTTGGGTGCTTCCTCTTTACTCAGTTGTTCGTGTCCTTGAGCTACTTAGAAGTGGGCCTGGGAAAGTTGTCCACTGTTTAGTGAAGTGTCCGTTGGCAGGCTTTGTTCAGCCTGAGGTAGCCAATTTCAATCTGTCAGCCACTGATAGAGGATTTTCCAGGACGCAAGAAAGGAGAATTCGGCAGCGGTTCTTAAAGGCTATTTGGGATCCTGTAGCATGGACCATGGGCATTGCATGATTTACACTGCGCAGCCTGTAAGGTGAGATAGCTGGTGACCAGGGTCTGATGTGCTATAAAGCCTGGCAGTTCTTCCCTGAGGAACTCTAGGAATCCCTCGACATGCGTTCATGCGGTGTGATTTAGTGGTAGAAGAGACTGCTCCTCCTGTTTTTATAAAGGTCTGGCCAACTAGGTGATATGGTTTCACTACACCTCAGTATAACAAGTGGGAACAGAGAGATGAAGTAGCTGATGCTCTGGACTCCACATCAGAACTCGCCAGGCAATCTGGAGAGATTCCCCAGACATCTTTGCTGTGGCAATCGCCTGTGACAATACCTGATTGTCTTGTAAAGCTGTAGCTCTTGGCAGAAACCCTCACCTGAATGAATAATAAAGAGGACTAAGGCTGTGAGATGCAAGGAGACTATGCTTTGCTGTGTTTTTTACAGCTTCCAGCATGGAGTCCTGCTGTTTGGGCCTTCAGTACAGCTACAGCCAGGTGCTGAAGCAATTTACCCCAAAGTCTGGTTTGAAACTGCTTTGCTCAGAGCCTTCTTCTGCTGCTGCTCCACAACAGCTGAGAAAACTCATCAGCAGTGACTGTTGGAGCTGTGGGAGTTAGAGGGGCTTCTGTCCTTGGTCGTTCGCTCTTCCCCCAGCCAGCTGCACATCATCCCTCACTCTGCCGCACTGGTGGCACTGCGTGAGCAAAGCCTCCTTGCAGGCCTCCAAGGCTAGTTCACAGGTTAGCATCGTGGCTCACACCTAGCCTGTGCTGGTGGTTTCAGGCAGTGTGCTGGACCACGGGCTGTGCGGGCTGGGGGTGGTGGGGGGACTCATCCCCTCCTACTAGCCCCAGTGGGAGAGTAGAAACCCCACCAGGAGGTTCCTCAGGCAAAGCTGCTTCCTGAAGTGCCTCAGCGTGGGCATTTGCTGGCAAGGCAGAGCCACCAGAGCATTGCTCAGTGACCTGAGAAGTATTTGGTTGGAAAATGTCCGGTTCTGTTCTCATCTGGAAGCCATGTGATCCGTCCCCAAAGATACAGCATAGCAGAGGCCCTGGGGCCCTCCCATGGACGAGAATGGATACAATGGGTTTGGTAGAGCAAAGTAGGTTGTCTGCAAGTCAAAAAGTCTGAGACCCCCATTTCTAGGTGGGATTGTCAGTACAGAATAACATAGCAAAGAGCACTCGAGGCTAAATGTTGTCCGTGATTATTTTTAACACTGTTTTTACTGTTATGATATGGTCTTATAACTGTCTTGTTGATGTTTATTTTTCCATTTGTGATAAGGGTCATATGTCATGTCTCCATTGCAGCAGGTGCTGTACAAACATGGACTGTCCATCCCCCAAACCGTTCACAAAGTCTTTTGCTTCGAATGGGTACTGAAGTCATTAAAGCATACAAGCCCTTTGACAAGAGTTTCTTTAGAGGATGTAGGACTACTTATTTCTCATCCAGAAAGCAATGAAGAGGTAAGAACCTCCTTGTTGGAAACAAAGCAGGACGTTAAAAGCCCAATAATATTTCAAAATGTTTTCCATAATTAAAACTCTCAGCTATTCATAATAATTAGCAACAGCTGAACATTGAATGATATGGATATTTAGTATAGTGAAGCCTATTAGAATTTGGGTGTTTTTCTTGGCTTGTGCTCCCCTTTCCTGTATGTGGGAAACGTTCTTCCTCCACGCTCCCTGAAAACCTGAAACCTAGATGGGAATTGCCTTTAGCTGCAATCTCAAAACATCTTTTCAGACCTTCAGCCATACCGTATAACTTCCCAAATACTTAAATTCTCTGCTAAACCCGAAAGAACTGTCTTTATGCAGAAGAGTGTTGTATACGCTGTTTGTAACGTGCAACCAGAAGACAAAGGTAGATCCTCGTTTATGAATAGGACCTGCATTAAAGTCTATTCCAAACATATTTGATTAGACATTCACTAAGTACATGTGTACAAATTTGGAAACCTATTCATGAAAAATTTTATATCAAGCTACTCATGCTAAATAAGCTGAAAAAAGAAAACAGGAATTTTCGCTAAGGAAATGTCTTCTCTTTTCAGCAAGGAAAGCAACACAGTGGAGGGAACTATGTAAAGTCGCACTGGACAAACCCAGCCTGTGAGGCCACAGGAGCTCTGGGAGTGCAATATCATTTCATCACAAGCTGAGGACCATGCTCTCGGCTGGGTTCTGGAGCTGATTGCCAGACAGAGGATGATACAACCCTGAGACGCTAATTACAACTGAGCTTTTCCAGACTTTACAGTCCCCTGTGGATGAAAAATGATAAAAAAGATTCTCCAGGGATGCCTGCCTGGTATTAGGAAGGTGTCCTTTCCATATTGCCAGTCTCCTAATGACTTGCTCCAGTGTGAGGTGGGTTCTGAGCCACAAATGGTATTTTTCGCTGTGTATTTTGTTTGTTATGGCTGAACATAAACAGGGCTCTGTGGGGCTGTTCGGTGGAGCTGCCATAGAAGAAGGAAGCTCTTTGAGGTTTCCTCAGAGTAATATTGCAGTGCTTTGTGTGATGAGTACCAGAGCCCATACTGCCAGGCAGAGCAAATGGAACTCAGAGCTGAAAATAAAATATTTTTAATTAAAATCCACATCTGCAAGCCGCTCTCTGGAAGCCAGAGTTTGGCTGCTAAATTATGCTGACATGCTGGGATCACCAGTGTCAGAGACGGTAATCCCAGCCTGGCAGCCAGCAGATCTTGCTGGTTAATATTTAAAAAGCTGCTGGCGCCGGATGGAAACCATTTTGTGAAATGCTCCATCAAGGCTGATTGTTTCTGCTTATGACTAGTGTCGCACGTGGGTAGCTTAGCTGTCATTTCTGTGTACTGGGTCAGGTCTTTGCATCCAGCCTGTATGCAGCCCGGAGGATGGGTTCCAAGCTGGCTTTAAGCTGTTTCAATACGACGGTCATTGAGTCTGGTGTCATGCCAGGAACGTGCCGTGAGCTCAAATTAGGCCACCCCCAGACTTCTAAATTGCTCTGACTGCTCTTTCAGTAGCTTTGGATAATATTTCTAGACCACTGTCTTTTCTCCGAGGATGCTGTGGGGCTGGAAACACGCAACAAGAGAGGGTTTAGCGCCTCTTCTTTTCTGCTGTAGCAGAGTAACTCAACGCATTTCATACAACCCTTCCTAGTGCAGCTCTATAAGCAGGGAGCAGCTGAGATGGAGTTAATCGTGTCCCCCTGCACTGTTCCGCGTACGTTATGGGCCGTGAGAGAAAGGGTTTGGAGCCTTTCAGTAATGATTTCAGATCCAGGGCTGTAGTGTGGCGCACTTATACCTAGTTAATATGTCTCAGGTCTCATCATCATTTAGCAAACCCCTACTCTCTTTACTGCTTCTTTGTTTTTTTTACCCAAATTGATCTAATAGTATGCCTTTCATTAAAAACAAAGAGCAATAAAACTTGCATCCGAACATCTTTTAAGAGCAAAAGAATAATCTCAAGAGGTAGATTAAGAAAGGGGTGCCAAAAATGTGACAGAAAGGCTTTTTGGGAAAGAAAGGTCAGAGTTCCTACATTCTAGATTTAGTGTTTAAGTTGATATCCACTTATGGAGAGAAATAGGGGTGCTTGGAGACGACTGAGAATTCACAGCCGTCAAACATGAAGATCTCCGTAAGACAAAAGCTTGTCACCCTCGTGTATCTTCCCAATCAGTTGGGAAACAAGTCTTAATCAGTTGAGACAGTCTGAGCAAATAGGGTTATCTTGCAGCCCTCTCTAAAAGTGGCCGGATTAATACTTAATTCTCTTCAACAAGAAGCAAAGTCTGGAGCAGCCAGCCTGCCTCGGAGAAGCGCTGCTGTCAGCGCTGCGGAGCAGGCGATGAAATGCGAGCGGTCAGGTTCACTTTTGTTTAAAATCAATTTCATTTGCTCTAATGCAACCTCGTTGTGTTTGCGTTTTTGGTAACGGTTGGGAATAATTAATTCTCCTTCATTTAACAGATCCCTCGCTCTCTCAAGACTTGAAAGAAGCCCCCTAAATTAAGGGTAAAAAATGACTTTGACAACAAATTAACTCGAGATTTAAAACCAGTCGTCAGTGGCCCTTTAAGCCAGATCCCTTTTCCATTTATAGCACAGACACCTGAAAGAGGAGGCTGCTGTTCCTAGGCGAGCGGGGAGGCAGACGGAGTTGTGCGTGGGAGGACAGAACAGGAGACCGCTCCCATTACTCGGGCCACTCCTCCGGTTAAATTAAGAAGTATTGTTGGAAAGTACTTGGCAGGAAAAAAAAAAGTTAATCTCCTAAGCATAGCCTAATGATGGGGCTGAGCTAACAATAATAATAATAATAAAAACTTTATTGCAAATGTTGGCTGATTTCTTCACTGTTCAGCTTGATTCTGGGGAAACGGGAGATAGCATTTTGTCAGTCTGTTTCCAAACTGGATAAATCATCCAATCTACAAGCCGTAACAAATCCTTCTTCTGTTCCAGCTCTTTCTGAAGTTATTTTTCTTCAGAGAGGGAGAATTGCAGCCCCAAACTTGGTTCAGAAGGGTGCAGGATATTTAAGCCTTCAAAGGTCGTTCAGACACAAACTAAGATAGACCATCTAGGAAGCATGTGGGGATTGAGTTCAAAATGAAATCTAAGTAGCACAAATACCCAGAAGAATTTTCTTTCCATTTTCCATTTTACCCCATCACTCATACATTGTCCTATCGAGTTATCTAAAGAAATAAAGCATGTTTATGTTATCTAGGTATATTCAACAAACTCTAACCTGCTCCCAAGAGGCCATCCATCAGTTGCAACCTCCATTTAAACTGGGACCTGTAAGAATATCCATGTACCTTTCTGCATCCTGTTCCTAGCAATGGCCTATCAGTAATAATTCAAAGAAAGGCCAAAACCAGAACAAAACAAACCCCATAACTCTTCCAGAAGCCAAAAGGGGGTGGGGGGGAGGCAGAAAAATATTTCTCACTCTTCAGAGGTAACTACAGAACCCCCAGTGCATAAGATGAATACAATGTCAATAAACAGTGATCCAGTCTCGTTTGGACCCCTTGGGAATATTCTGATACACAGGTTTCTTGTCTCTTTGGCAATGCAATCCCTTCCAAAGGCTTACCAAATTCCAGTTCAGATTCCTTAGTACAACTGCTTGATTTTAGAAAACCATTAGAGAGTTCTGATGCTCAGATAATCAGCACTCTCACTTTAATTTCCATGCTAGGCTTATTCATGACCAACCTATAATCAACAGATCTAGTGCTCATAGTGTCCTTTAACTTAAATAATATTTTATTTCTTTGCTATTTCCCTGGTCCCACAGTACTGAACCCTGAACATAGAGTCATCATACCTCTTTTAATCTTTGTTTAAAAAGGCAAATTCTCTTAATCTCTGTTTATAAGGGATACATATTTGTAGTCTTCTCTGAATTTGTTCGAGTAAGTTTGTTGTTCTTAAACACAGGTACCAGTACTAGACGAAACACTCCCACTTTTTTTTTAATCAATGTACCACTGATGCTGTTATTTTTGTCCTTGCTAAAAGTACCTCTCCTAATTCATTCTAGCCTTCTATGCTGCTTCTTAGTACCAGTAAGTTCTTGCTATTCTTCACCTGGCCGATAACCTAGATCTTTTCTTTCCTCTTTGGCACTTAATAGATTACTCTCTTTGGGATTTGGACATTATTTTTTCCAGGACACGGAGGATCTTCTAGAGAGTAGAGCTGTGGCACTTCCATGCTGATGGAGCCGGAGTTCCCAGCCCTTTGCCAGTCAATGAAATCTTATGACTCCATTTCTTCTCAGTAGCTCTCCAGTCATTTTTTGGTATGGTTTGTGCTCAAAGCAGAGGAGAGGGTTTTTGCGCTTGGACGAGACTGGTAAGGTGAGGGGAAGTAATAATTCTTCTGAACTAAATGTCTGTTGCATAGAATGGACTACATTCAATAGTCCTGGAGGTGGTCCCCTCTTACGCTGTATTCCTAATATGGTCCCAGATTTGGAAGTGGAAAGGGTTTTGCCAGCACTGAACGTGACCATTGGTCATGCTCCAAGTATCTTCTGCTGCTGAGCTGTGCAAAATTGCACATCATTTTATCTTGCCACGGCAAATGTCCTGAGAGTCACAAAACCAGTCAAAGCAAATTTTGGGACTGGCTGGGCTGCCGTATGACGCCTCGGCAGCTCCGTTGTGCTTTCCTGCGCGTCACCAGCTTAGACCAGCAGGGACCGAGTTATCGTTCACTTTTGAGTCAAAGATCATGTTTTTATGTGAAGAATGCAATTATAAATAGTTTATAAAGAGTTAGTAAATTATTAATAGAGAAGAACGCTCAAGTAATGTATAACACGTTATAGATTATTAAAAGCACATCAGTTCTGGTAGTGTAGATGAATATAAGCCTGACTAATAAGCATGCTATTGAACAATCTATAACAATTGATTTGCCCATTATTAATTTATCTATTAATCCCTTATTAAACTGTTGTTCACCATTTATACTCTTACCCCTGACAGTAAGTGTATCTGAAGTGATTTCTTTTAAAGCCATCGGGTGGCAAAGCCACTTTCACAGATTGTGAATTTTGGAATTTATCGAACATATAACATAACACATGCATTTTTTTTTGCCCTTTTGAAAAATCAAAAACATATGACTAATTGTTTTGTCTGGCTTCCCAAAAGATTGTAGTCCCCCTGCCACCGCTATCAACTTCTTTTCTGTAAGCTAATCAAGTTAATGTGCAGACAAGGGAGTACAGGAAAATAATTATGTTCACCCAGGGCTTTGTAGGAAAAAGCTTACTTAGACAGTTGACAAGACTAGTGGAAGCATGGTCTATATGTAAGTATATTTGTGAGATGGATGGGATACACAGTTCTGCAAGCTCAAGACATCTATCTGACCACAGCTCTTGGGATGACAGTGGGCAAGGGTGAGGTAGGGTGAATATCAGGAAACATTTCCTGGCAATGAGGTCTGTTAGACTGTGGAAGGATCTCCCTAGAGAAATGGCGGAAGTCCTGTCGCTAGAATCAATTAAAGAGTAGTCTAGACAAACCCCGCAAGGATATTCTCCTAAGGATCAGCCTTGTAGGTGGGGAGGGAAATGAAATGGGGGATGGAAAAATGACCTCATCAATCTCTGTCACCTTTAAAATATAGAGACTATGTTGATATTGGCTACCTCTCTGCAGAGAATGCCGGTAAAGATGCTTATTGGAGGAATGGTTTTGTGGTATGGGTAGGAAAGAGTCAGTAAATATCAATGTAACTCCTAAGAACTGGCTGTAAGTCCCTATGACATGTCCTCTGGTCACTGTTTTTTGGCGAGGTCTGTATTAATAGCTAAGCATGTATGAAAAATACTTTGGTACTTTAATAATCCCAAAGCA